AATTATATGAATACCCCTTATTATCCTTTTTGTCCTTTTTGTCCTTATTGTCCTTATTGTTCTTTTTGTCCTTATTGTCCTTTTTGTCCTTATTATCCTTTTGGTCCGTATTGTCCTTTTTGTCCTTATTATCCTTTTTGTCCTTATTATCCTTTTGGTCCGTATTGTCCTTTTTGTCCTTCTTGTCCTTAGTATCCTTCTTGTCCTTCTTGTCCTTATCATCCTTCTTGTACTCTTTAATCTTAATGTTCTACAACTGTATATCCTCATCATCAGCTTGCCGCAGATGTCTACTTAAAGGAAAAGTCTCGATTTGCCGCAATTGCAACCTTAGCATAGTATGTTTAGAATATAGGAAAGACTGATTTCGATTGAAAGATTTCAGTAAGCTTTGAAAACACCCGAAGCCTAGTTTGAAATAATATGAAGCATTTTTTCATATAATTCACGATAAACAGTATAATTCTCATCCCGAATCGGACAACAGGACTGGCATTTGAAATGTCTCTAAATAATCCATTGCGTCAATAGATGATCAGCTTTTCCATCCTTGATCATTTAATTGATTTGCGAAACGTTAATAACGGCAACGAATACACAGCCATGCTTTACCAGGTTTCTGTTGCCATTTTGGCGTTTCAATCGTAGTAATGAAGATTCAGAATATAGGAAACAATTATTTTAACAATACGCAATAAGGGTTATGTCACTCCAAAGAGCAAAAATTCTTTATTTACGCACGACCAAGTTCTCTAATATTACTATAGCAAAAATGAGAGAAGAAGTTTGATTAAAGTAAAAGCAACTCAAACTTTGTAGAAACAAAGTAAGGTGATACAGAAACTATTTTTGAAGTGCGTTATGCTTTGAGAGTGTTTCCTGAAATATTAGTTTTCAGGCCTGGTCACTCGTGTGCAGTCACAGGATACATGTCAGTTAAGCATGTACACTTTTTAATTTGTCGGTTTTCTGCACGATTACTTGCACGTGAATATCTCCAACTACGCGTAAACACAACGAATTGTGATTAAACTAAAAGCAAATGGAACATCTTTTATTTTAAAAATACTCACACAGGCAAGCACAACTTCTTTTCGATCTTCTCTGACGATTAGTGTTTTAAGTAAGTTTTTCATTTATACAAGGACTAATTTTTTTTTTACTGATAGATCGAGTACTCATACACACATATGTGTCTGGCATCCAGATAGAATGAACAATCAAGATCAAATCTTGTGTATAATAAGCGGTATTCATATAATTAGTCGTCAGCTTATCTTTTATCTTTTATTGCAACGCTGGCCTATTAAGTGTCTAAATAATGTAATAACAATAGTTAGCGGTGTATAAGAAGCCAACATGGAAAATTACAACGAAAACTATAATCGATACATACTGCTTGCGAGACTACATGTTTAAAACTACAGTTGGTTTCATTCTTTTCCATTTAACCCTCGTTATTGTCTCTTTTACGTTTACTAGATTGGGTTAACAGTAATCATGGAGAGGAACTAATCGCTTTTCTTCCGCCGGTTAAGCTAGCCTAATTATTGTTTCACATCTAAACCAGTGTTTTTATTGTTTATAAAGGTGAGAATGGGCTGGCAGAATTTTGCACCGGAAACACCTCGATTACCAACTCTTGAATTGATCATTGTCGGTATTATGCCTCTTTGCCTCATGGTTTGTGGCACAATTGGTAACCTGTTATGTATTATGGTGCTATTGTCTAAACTGCGACGGGAGGCTTCCCGTAATAGTCACCGAGTATCGACCAATGTTTATTTAATCTGGTTATGTTTCTCTGATAGCATATCATTGTATCAATTCAGTCTAGATAATTCAGTCGCAAATTTAACTGGTAAAAGTATAATGAGTCGTTCGTTGGTCACATGTAAATTACTCGAGTTTTTTGGTTATTATACTCTACATTTACCAGTTGTTTATTTAACAATGGCTACTATTGATCGTACATTCATGTTATGGTCACCTGCATACAAACGAAAAATAGCACATCCAAAACAAGCATGGAGAATATGTATCTCAATAGCTAGCATATTGCTGCTAACAGACTGTTTCTTACTTGCTTTAGGGTACGTAGAGGCTGATGGTACTATTCAATGTTTTCAGTCAAGAAATGCCGCATTATACAGGGCGTTTCTTTTATTTCTAACCTGGTTTCATCTAGTCTTGATGACTATGGTACCATTTGCTGTCATGGGGATGTGCACATTGCTAACAATCATTAAATTAGTTCGCTTACCACGAGTAAATGAAGCATCATATTTGCGCAATAAACGAATCGCAATCATGTTAGCGTGCATGTGTATTACCTACATTTTATTGACGTTACCAAACCGCATGGTGTTTAGTGTATTAACTCCGCTTGTGGAAACCTCAATAGGAGCAAATGTAATATTCTCATTAGCGGATTCTCTTACTTATTTAGCAAGTTCATTAAATTGTCTCTTCTTATCCGTTAGTGTCAAAGGATTTTGGTCAGATTTATGGAGCTTATTTACCATGAACAAACTTCGTTCACGTACAACAGAGACGATTTCTGCTACATTATCTTAAAATGACACGCTTCTTTCCGTATGATACAGACACATTAATAACGCCAAACTACACATAATCATGTTTCACTACGTTTTTCTAGTCATTTACGCGTTTTGATCGTCGTAATGAACATTCAGAATATAGAAAAGAATGATTTTAACACCACACAAAAAGGGCTATATTATATAAGCCCGCAACAATTCAGCTTTGACCGATCCGGCTTATATACTCGTATCATTTTCAACTTCCTTCGTTTATTGCTTGTACTTTTCTGACTTGTTACCACCATATGCCGTTCATGCGTTCGAGAGCGTCTTCAGCCATTTATATTTTGGAAAAAATTATAAAGCCTTAAAGATTATCGGAAACGGGTTTTTTCTTTCCTATACTGGTTATTTTAAAAGAAGAAGAATGAAAACTATCTCGTCATGCAAAGTAGAATGAACTATTGGTTTCAAGGTAATTGGCATACTTTCATAGCTAATAGACACTTCTTTTACAATAATGTTAGGTATCGCATAGAGGCAAATATAAATTGTCTTGTTTTGGTATTTTTATTTTGAAAATAAAGAAGTAAATATGAACAAAAAGCGTTTTTTTAAAGTTCACTGTTGAATAAGGCTAAGTGGCTAGACGAGGAACGTTTATGTGTCTTTCGATTATGTTCTAAAATGCTGAGTTTTCGAATGTTTTCAGTTATTTTTTTAGGCCTAAAACTATTAATAAATCGATCAGATTTATTTAAGTAAGCTTTGAAGTCGCCAGAATACTTGTAAGAACTTTTACGATAACCCACCGAACAGAGAAAGATTTAAATCAGTGGAAAAGACTAGTTTAGTAGGGACGAACATCGATTTTAAAAGAAGACAATTTTAGTTGCACCAGTGTTCTTTCCAGTGATAAAAGACATGATATTCGTATGACCAGGCATGGGTGATTTTACAATGATTTAGATAAATCTTTGATTAAAACTAGAGAAAAGGTTTTGATTTCGTACAGAACTATAAAACCCTTGGCTGTATCATTTGAAAAGTAAACTACAACACAAGAATCAATATGCCAGCATCATATCCCTCCCTAAAATGAATTTATTTATGTGAGCGTGTAATAGTTTTCCTGTTTCCAGGTATAAGTTTATCCATTGCAAATAATCTTCTATATTAATAAAAAAGGTTGGAAAAGAAGTTGTGTTTGTCTCTTGCATGATTTAACATGCATCCGAAAGGTGGAACGAGTAGAAGAAGCGTTTCAATCGTAGTAATGAAGATTCAGAATATAGGAAACAATTATTTTAACAATACGCAATAAGGGTTATGTCACTCCAAAGAGCAAAAATTCTTTATTTACGCACGACCAAGTTCTCTAATATTNAGAATATAGGAAACAATTATTTTAACAATACGCAATAAGGGTTATGTCACTCCAAAGAGCAAAAATTCTTTATTTACGCACGACCAAGTTCTCTAATATTACTATAGCAAAAATGAGAGAAGAAGTTTGATTAAAGTAAAAGCAACTCAAACTTTGAGAAACAAAGTAAGGTGATACAGAAACTATTTTTGAAGTGCGTTATGCTCTGAGAGTGTTTCCTGAAACATTAGTTTTCAGGCCTGGTCACTCGTTTGCAGTCACAGGATACATGTCGGCCTGGCCAGCTAACTCTACCTGCGTACGTAATTCCGTGACGTTTTTCTATGATTTTGTTTTATTTGCAGAAATTTTTGAAAAAGTCAGAACTCAAAAGTAAATAAACCATTTTGTAGACAATT